GTTCATTCGACGACATCTTATGCTTCTCCTCGATTTTCTTGAATTCCTCCTCCACCCCCGCCTCCTCCGCCCCCCATATGCTCGGGGCGCGCTGCTAGCTGTTGCCGACGCCGCGAAACAGCCCAGGGATCGGGGGGCCGCGGCGCGCGCGAGAAGTGCCCGCGTCCATTCGCAACGGCCAAATCCTCGGACAGCTCGAACACCTGCGGGGGCGCCAGTCTCGCTGAGTCAGCCCGCCCCGCCGAGCCGCCGGAGCGACAGCGACCTCAATCAAGACTGCACTCTGTCATGGACAGGGCGCGCGGCGACATTCTCTTCGGGGTTTGGCGGGGCAAGCAACGACGGCCTTACTCGCGAAACAAAATAGAAGGCGATCCCTCGGAGGGAGCCGTTGAGAAACCTATAGTCGAACACCAAGTGTCCGGAGTGCCGAGCAGCGCTGCGCGCGACCGCAACGACCAGCCACCGTCAACGCATAGATTCTTTTCGAGACGATGCCAGCGGCATGCCCGTGGGGAAACAACGCGCGGCCATGGTCGCATTCTTGGAGCGCACATGATTTCGGACCCCGCGAAGCCGAAGCCGCTGACGCGACGAGCAGCGCAGGGGCGCGCGCGCGCCCAGCAAGGTCGGGCGAAGCAGCCCTCCGATATACACACAAGAGAAACAAACCCGCAGGACGCGCGCAAAGTGCAGAGAACTCAGCTCGCATAGGTGCATTGCCAACTGCACGGTAAGAATGGGGCCGCGACCGCATCTTGAGACGAACCTGCGCTGGGTGACATAAGGTGCTTTTCGTCGAATAGTTTACGAACTCCCCCCCTGCCCCCCGTCGAGGCGCTCCTTGATTCCGAAAACTACTCATCGCAGAAGGCCGAGGGCCTACTTCGAGAAAACCCACGCCCGCAATTCACGCCGGGGCAAAAGATTGGGGGCGCCCTCGCGGGTAGCTCGCGAAGCAAACTGCGCCGCCCGCGTGCGAACGCTTGGGCAGCCCCATAATATGAACTAGCTTGGCCTCGCTTGGAAGGCTGGGGGCGGGGGGGGGGGGCCCGCCGCGACATCCACAGCGCCCCGCTCAATCCGAGCCGACGCCGACCGCCCCCCGCATGTCCTGGAGAACCCCGTGCCCATCGAAAGTCTCGGTCGGAGGTGCGCAGCGTCACCTGCGACAGCACAGCGCGCGCTACCAGCCAGGCCGCGCCGCCCGCAGGACGCAGGAAGATCGCCGCTGCCACTCCCTCGGACAGACAATCAACCGACAACGTCATGAGACAACAAAAAGTACACCGCTGTGGGGAGCGTGCACACGACAACCGCATGTTGCCAGGACACTGACCTGCCATTCAGCCAACGGAAGAGCGAGCACTATGACTACAGATCCGTCAAAACGGTGCGCGGCGTCCGACGGTGCCTCCATCCGGACCAGGGAAGACCACCGAAGACACTCCCTGGGGGCTGAAGTGAGCGGCGCCATGTGTGACGGCGCAGCCCGCGCTACCAGCCGGGCCGTGCATCCCGCAAACGCGGGAAGCCCACCGAAGAAACTCCCTCGGATAGTTCAGGCGACAGCTCGGCATGGCAAAACTTACAAGCCACTCCCTGGGAGCAGAGGTGTGCGGCGTCACCCTGCCAAGTGTAAACCAAGCCCAACGCTCGGACGAAGAGATGTGACGATGGCACAGTGCATGCACTGAGCTGACAGCGGCACTCCAGGTATACACTGCAGCACGAACATACGGTACAAGCCAAGGGACCGAAGAATCGCGGCAACTCGATCCAAATCAGTAGATTCGCGGTGCACCTCGCGATGCTGCTCACGAGCCCCATACACAACGCTTCGAAGCAACACCTTAAATGCCTTGCTATACCACTTTGCTTCACTGCAAAGAAAACGCACAAATCCGAACGATATGTTCAAGATGTGTTTGCTCGTCCTCTGGCAGTTTCAGGAAGTCGTTGAAGATGGACGCTTGTCGACCAGCACTGGACAGTACGTTTAGTTGGACAACTCAGAACCCCATTCTGGAATAAAGGCAGACTTGCTTACCCATCAACATCCGCGATTTGTCCCCGAGCAGCGGGTAGCATAAATCTTTGTTTGGCCACTATTGCTGCCGCAGCCAGTGAGCCGAACGTTCCACCGGCCATCCAAAACACCTGTGCTGGACTGCGAACGGGCAGAAATAAGGACTCAGCCCTTGGGCAGAACCGGGGTGCCAACGCACAAACGAGGGAATCTCTCGTGCAGCGCGCTCAACCGAGGCTTGGGCAACACTTTCCACTTTCCTGCAAGCCCAAACAAGCGAAGCCGAGGCGTGATGGACAACCCTTGGCACTGTCTGATGCTTCAGCCCACTAGGGACAGGAGGAATCGGTTGCAATGCAAGCGGTGCACTTGCACGAGGCTGCGTATGACCTTCCACGTGGCTTTTTTATATTCGGAAAAGGATCGAAGCCAAAAGTGTCCCCTTCGGCTCCCGTGCCAAACTTGAGTTTCCCACCCTGCAGCCGATCCTGGTGATGGCGCGGACCATACCCACTCCCACCGTCATCACCTCACCTCAGTCGAGGGTGTCATGACCAGGATGATTGCCATCACGAGTAGGAATCCCGCCACCACCACGAGCTGATCCAGGAACCCATGAAGGAATAAAATGCGGGCTTGCACAACCATCACGGCAAAAGCAGGCAAGAAAAGAGGCGCCAGTGCGCGGAGAAGCCCCCAACTCAGCAAATGCTAGAACCAAATGAGCTATGGTGATGATGGTGGCGGTGACGGTGACCGTGACGACGACGACGACGACGACGACAACGAGGATGATGATGATGCTGCTGATCATGATGATGATGGTGATGATGATGATGCTGATGATGCTGATGATGATGATGATGCTGATGACGACGACGACGACGACGACGACGACGACGACGACGACGACGACGACGGTGGTGGTGGTGGTGGTGTTGGTGGTGGTGGTGATGATGATGATGATGATGATAATGATAATGATAATGATAATGATAATGATGATGATGATGATGATGATGATGATGATGATGATGATGATGATGATGATGATGATGATGATGATGATGATGATGATGATGATGATGATGATAAGAGTGACGATGATGGTGATGATGATGGTGGTGATGCTGCTGATGATGCTGATGATGGTGATAGTAACGGTGATGCTGTTGTTGATGATGCGGATAATGGGAAATCAGGAGGAGGAGGATGCGGAAGAAGAGGAGGAAGAGGAGGCGGAAGAGGCGGAGGAGGAGGAGGCGGAGGAGGAGGAGGAGAGGGAGGAGCCGGACTGAGGAGGAGGAGGAGGAGCCTCCTCCTCCCCTCCTCCTCCTCCTCTCCTCTTCCTCCTCCTCCTCCCTCCTCCCCTCCTCCTCCTCCTCCTCCCTCCTCCTCCATCCTCCTCCTCCTCCTCCCTCCTCCTCCTCCTCTCCTCCTGCTCCTCCTCCTCCTCCTCCTCCTCCTCCTCCTCCTGCCCGCCGCGTCAGCCCGCGATGCAGGGCGCGCGGCACCGGCAGAACCTGAGTGCAAGGGCGGGCGGGGCCCGCTCCACGGGCGCGGGGGGATGCCGCCGCAGGCGGGTGGCGGTGGGCCCGCCCCGCCGGCGTCGTCGTCGTCCGCCTCGTTGGAGCCCCTCCTCGTCCCCCCACAATCCTCCTCATCCTCCTCCTCCTCCTCCTCCTCCTCATCCTCCTCCTCCTCCTCCTCATCCCTCCTACTCCTCCTCCTTGCTCCTCCTTCTCCTCCTGACTCCTCCCTTCGTCCTCCTCCTCCATCTCTTCCCTCCTCCCTCCTCCTCCGCGCCTCTGCCTTCCTCGTCCTCCTCCTCCTCCTCCTCCTCCTCCCCGCCTCCTCTCCACCTCCTCCTCCTCTTGCTCTTCTCTCTTCTTCCTCATCCTCCTCCTCCTTGCCCTCCTCATCCTCCTCCTCCTCCTCCTCCCTCCTCCTGCGCCTCCTCCTCATCATCATCCTCCTCCGCCTCCTGCTCCTCCTCCTCGTTTTCGTCTTATCCTGCTTCTAATGATCAGTAGTAGTACTATTGGTACTACTCGTAGTATTAGTATAATGTTAGTGCTGTGTTCTGTTATACATATCCGTGCGATTACTACGAATGATGTGAATAGTAATATCAGTATGGGTGTGACCAGCATTAAGCAGATTGACAATATGCTTCGTAGTACTGTTCGTCTTTAAAATATGAATATTAGTATTGTTCGTAGTATTGATAGTACTCGTCTTTGTTCATTGTGTATGAATTGTAGTATGGTTCGTCTTATTCGCAATTCTGCTAGTGCGTTCCGTTTTCATCCCCGGACTCATAGCATGAGTACCCGCGTTCGGATTATCGTTATTAGTGAACATATTAGTATTGGCAATATGTGTCGGATTCGCATCCTTTTCCGCATTAGTAGTGTTAGCATGATTCAGATGCGTCTTCTTATCAGTATGCCTATTCGTCTGCCTCCTCCTCCTCCTGCTCCTCTTCCGCCTCCTCCTCCTCCTCCTGCTCCACATACAGCTCCTCCTCCCTCTCCTCCTCCTTTTCCTTCTCCGTCTCCTTCTCCTTCTCCTCCTCCTCCGCCTCCTCCTCCTCCTCCTTCTCCTCCTCCGCCTCCTCCTCCTCCTCCTCCTCCTCCGCCTCCTCCTCCTCTTCCTGCTCCTCATCCTTCTCCTCCTCCTGCTCTCTCGTCCTCCTCCTCCTTCCTCCTGTTCCGTAGCCATTTTGGCTCAAGATGCGAGGCTTCCAGGTGAGGTGAACCAAGTGGATACCGCTAGTCCGCGGCTCGCTCCCTGTTTTTTCTCGTTCAAGTCTGTTCGCCCAGGCTCGGGACACATACTCAAACTTCCCTCAGGCCAGGCGCCATGGCGCCGCCACACTACAGGGCGGGCGACAGTGGTATTGCACGACGTGTGTGGGCCCAGCAGGAAACTCTTGGTGGAACCATGCCGACGCACGGTCGTGCTCGAAATGCCAGCTCGGAAGGGCGTCATCTTCAAGGCCCACCGCGAACCAGCCTCTGTCAACACGTCGACGCGGACCAAAGGCCGCACGTACTCGGCCTGCTCAGACTCGGTGCAGCTGCAGAAGCTCAACTCTGAGCTGGCTGCCACCAACCGCCAGCTGGCCAAGGTATCACAGGAGCCTCCCCTGCAGGGTCATTGCGGACGCAGAAACGACAAGCGATGAGAAGGCAAGGAGGCGGCTCCGCGAGCCGGGCGTCCTTCTGCAGGCGGTCAGCGGCAACTCCGACCCGAACCTGCTCGTTGCCAGGGAGGTCCATCAACAGGAGCAGAGCGAGCTCATGACAAAGCTCGTAGCAAGCAGGCCCTCGGGCCTAAGGCTGCGGGAGATGGGCGAGCAGATCACGAAACAACAGAAGTTGCGCGACGCCCAGCGCAAGAAGCTGCAGGTCATCGAGGAGCGGCTGGCGCAACTGCAGGAGCGGGAGGCGCAGGCCACTAGCCAGCTCGCGGAGCTAGACCAGCAGACGTTGGAGTTGCACGAGCAGCAGCAGCCAGCAGCAGCAGCAGCAGCAGCAGCAGCAGCAGCAGCTCCAGGGGACGGTGCCCCTCCCCGCGCAGGGGGAAGGGACGCCCGAGGACACCGCCGACGGGCCGATCGAGGGCATCGGCATCACCTTGGGCGGCCTGGGCGCCGCGCTGGGCAGCCTGGGCGCAAGCTACAGAGCTGTCCGAGCGGCTCGAGGCCGACGCGGAGCAGCTCGAGAAGCTGGAGGAAGAAGCGCGTGTCCGGCATGAGGCAGAGCGAGCTGCTGAACGTGAGCGACAAGGGAAGGCGGCTGCGGAGGCGCAGGCGACACCTCGTGGGCAAGACGACGCGGAGATGGAGTTCGAAGCGAAGGAGGAGGAGGAGTCCCTGCAAGAGGTGATCGAAGCAGGGGGAGACAAGCGTAAGCTCAGCGAGATCTTCGCCATGCATGGGACCAAGACGACGAAGCTCAGGCGTGGCAGCGCTTAGGGCAGTCATGTTCTGGATGGACTTTGTGTGCGTGTGTCGAAAGCAATTACGATCGTGACGACGGAATGATGTAACAGTACGGTGTCTCATGCATCGTCAGGCGGCCCGGTGATCGACTACCCGAGCTCCTGTACCAGCACGTGCGTCGCGCGGCAGTGCAGGAACACCAAGCCCAAGCCAGCGGCGGCGGCTTGGCGAAGGCGCAGGCACTCGAGATTCAAGGCCTGTCTCTCGCCGTCTCGGGTTCCAGGCCGCGCCCTCGTCTCCACGGCTGGCGCTCCGCCGCGTGGCGGATTCCGGAAACCCGGAATCACAAAACATCGATCCTCGCAGGCAGCGACCCTTCTGGAGAGCCCCACGTAACTCTGGCCAGAGCGTCAGGAATGCGAGGTGGGGATGGATCCACATCCACCGCCTGGGAACCGACGTCCCGGTGCCCCAGCGGGCGGTGGCTATGGCTATATCTTGGCCCCCGGGGCCTGAATATGTCCATATCCACCGCCTGTGGAGTTCCACGAACCCAGACCCCCGACGTAATGATTTTTTCATTACGTCGACCCTCAGAGGTCCCGACCCTTTCCCCATGACCGGCTTTGCATCCTGAGTCGTTTTTTGACGCCCCCGAGGCCCGGTGAGGGCCCCCGGAGGCCGAAAATCAGGAAAAACCTCCCGTCATGATTTTTTCATTGCTCGAGGGGGTCTGAGAACATGGATCCTTCAGGCGGTGGCTCCGTACAAAACTCCCCGCCTCCCCAGACACCCGACGTCTCGATGCCGTCGGGGCACAGGGCCCCCGGGCTCCCGACCCCTTTTCCCCGGGACCAGCCTCTCGTCCCGCGTCGGCTCCTGACGGTCCCGAGGCCCGGCGAAGGCCCCCAGAGGCCAGCAGCTGTGAAAACGCCTCCGTCCCGCATGGCTCGATTTTTTTTTCCACCAGTTCCTCAGGTCTGCTCCGTAAAACGCCTCCGTCCCGAATGGCTCGAGGCGCCCGACGTCTGGGCCGAGAGGGAGCTCCTGGGCGGGCGACCTCGGGCCCCCCTCCCCGGGAGGCCCTCGCCCCTGGCAGGCAGCCGTGCGTGCGCGAGCAGTGAGTCGGGCCTGCCCCCCCTCCTCCTCCGCCTCCTCCTCCTCCTCCTCCTCCGCCTCCTCCTCCTCCTCCTCCTCCTCCTCTTCCTCCTCCTCCTCCTCCTCCTCCTCCTCCTCCTCCTCCCCCTCCTCCGCCCCCTCCTGCTGCGCCCGATCGGCCCCTCGCGGGGCTCCCGCGGCGCGCGGCACGCGCACCCGGGGGGGGGAACACTCCAAAATCATCAAAACATAGACTGGGGACTATGTTTTTGGTGTTTCTTCTGCAATTTGGGGAACATGTTTTGGGGGTATTCTCAATGTTTGTCCCAAAATCCCCCTGTAGGGGGACCACTCCAGAATCATCAACACATAGACTGGGGACTATGTTTTCAGTGTTTCTTTTGCAATTTGGGGAACGTTTTTGGGGGGTATTCTCAATGTTTGTCCAAAAATCCCCCTGTAGGGGGAACACTCCAGAATCATCAACACATAGACTGGGGACTATGTTTTTAGCGTTTCCTTTGCAATTTGGGGAACGTTTTTTGGGGGGCATTCTCGATGTTTGTCCCAAAATCCCCCTGTAGGGGGAACACTCCAAAATCATCAAAACATAGACTGGGGACTATGTTTTCAGTGTTTCTTTTGCAAGTTGGGGAACGTTTTGGGGGGGTATTCTCTATGTCTGTCCCAAAATCCCCCTGTAGGGGGAACACTCCAGAATCATCAACACATAGACTGGGGACTCTGTTTTTAGCGTTTCCTTTGCAATTTGGGGAACATTGTTGGGGGTATTCTCGATGTCTGTCCCAAAATCCCCCTGTAGAGCCTGTAGGGGGACACGCCCGACTGAACCCGGGCAGCCGAGGCGCCCCCCTGGCCTGCGTCCCCCCGCAGCCCCCCCCCGGGTGCGCCCCGCGAGGGGCCGATCGGGCGCAGCAGGAGGGGGCGGAGGGGGAGGAGGAGGAGGAGGAGGAGGAGGAGGAGGAGGAGGAGGCGGAG